CCCCCCCCCCCCCCCACCTCGCAACGCCAACACTTATGTGCCCCCAAACATGCCCACGGTGTCAGCGAATATTTCGGGCACAAATCGGTTTATTTAGACATCTTCGGACTAACCTCAACACCCGGACGCCACCAACTGATGCCTCCCTGTCCACCTCTGTCTCGTCCGCAGTCGGAAACTAACTCTAATGGTGCTCTCGACCCTCTGTTGCCATCCTCCACTACCATTTCCGCTTCAAAATCTGCTGCGACGGCTCCTACCCCCACCAACAATGCCAAAAATCTTGACACAGTCAAACAACAGCCTCACCACCGCCAACACCAGTGATGTGGACTCGGCCCCAACCTGTTCTCCTTGCAGTCACACAGTCGCCTCACAAATCAGCCTGGTCGCGGTCACCTGTGAATCCCTCGCACAGAGACTGGCGAACCAGTGCTTGGAGCACCAACCTAAACTCGCCGCATCCGCCCCAACTACCCTCACTGTCCCCCGCAAATTCGACCGCCGCATGGGTCTACTAGGTCACATGCGCACCAACGAAAAACTGCGGTAGATAACCGCCAGCTTTATCAAACCATTAGGCCTTCCCCACCAGCACCTGACCACACAGCAACATCACCCATCGCCCCACAACGCAAGCACTAAATTAACACCTCTCATGCAAGTGAAGAGTATGCTTCCTGCCTCCTTCACCATGTGCTTGCTCTGCTGCATGTGTGATCCAAGCCTGGGATCATTACGCTGCGCCAAACGTCGTGGCTCGGAAGGTTTCCGACCGACGCTTTAACTCAATCCACGTAATTGGTCAATTTGCGTGTGTTTATGTGGAACGGCGGACTGGTGGGTTGAGAGCCAGGCTGTCATGGCTCCTTCTCAACGTGACTCCTGGCATTCTCACGCTTGTGAGGAGTCTGCGTGTACGTTATGGGTAGTGCTTCTTAGTGGACAACTGACTGATTACCCGATCTTTGAAGGGTGATTGTCCAGGCTGAGTGCAGGGCTGCCGCCACCCTTCTGAGTCTTAAGGATTGTGTGTATCGCCGCAGGCTAGGCCAAAAGTGAGACCCTGGTGCACACGTGCAGACACTCGCGAGAGGTCCAGTGTTTAGACAGGGCGTCTGCTATGTCATGGTTTAGCAAACCATAGTCCCCGCAGACTGGTGTGAGATGGCCGTTCTCCGGCACCCGGCTCCCTGCCGGTAGATGCACTTTCGCTCCCGCTGGGTATACAGGTCGTGTGCATGGCTGCCCAGTCATCCTCCTCTTCCTGACGCGTTGTGGTACAGTTTTTGTTGGTTAAAATTCTGATCAAGTGTTTGCCATGAACCGGGGGGTGAGATGGTATGCCTAAGTGGGGGTCCTGCCGTGTTAGACACCTGCGCCTCCAGCCCTCTTGACTATGTCTTGACAGCGGGTTCAAGCCATGGGAAGGTGGGGAGGAGAGGGCGCCGTAGATGCTGCGCAAGTCTACACTCATTGCAGACTAAATCGCGCGCAAGGCACCGTCCTTGCTTTTACCTTGTTTTGAAGCACACGGTGAACATCGTTGGCAAGGAGGGTCGAGCCGTCGGTCTCACAGCCATTATGCAAAGTGGGCAAAAAAGCCACGGAGGGCAATAGTGCTTTAACAACTTGCTGAAGACTATTTTTCTCCTTCTTTTCTTTAGAGGTTTTGAAAAGAAAGCCTTGGAACTTAATCATGCCACGGTTCACCACCAACCGAAGAAAACTAATCCTGAAATTATACCGTGAACTTCAAGGACCAATAATTATGACCTAACGAGAATAATGTCGCTGTTGCAGAATGAGGGATTCTCCAAGGAAATCAATAATCAGCCGTTTGATTGGTCGTTTTGAGGAGTTGAATTCATTAGGCGACCTTGAACGAGCAGGCAGACTGCGCATACTTAACAAGACAGCCGCAGTTGAGCGCATAAGGAAGTGTTGTGGAACGTCACAGAATATCACCATGAGAACGGTCAGAAGAGGTTTCGGTCACTTAAAAGTCACTTAGCGTATTTTGAAAACCATGAACTTATTTTCATATAGAATGCAGTTTTTGCGACATGAGCCCATCAGACTAAACCCACAGATTGCAATACGCGACCAGACTTCAGGAACTAGCAAAGGTAGGTCACGAATTTATTTACAAGCTGATGTCACGTGAAGCAGACTCTCAATCGAATGGCTTCATCATTACATAAAACTGCGGGATTTGGGGTTCTAGAAGCTTAGAGTAATTCGGCAAAGGGACCTGCACACCCTAAAGTGTATGGTCGGCGGTGGGCTGACGTCGAAATGAGTGGGTAGGCCTTAATTTCCGACCGTCACGCTAACAGTCCTGTCGAAGTCACAGTTTATGAGTAGCGGTCTATGATTGGACCTCTGTTACGGGACGCTTATATGCATCATTCTCCTGAAATGCAATGCTGTATAGTTACTGCTGTGCTATGCTAGTCTTTCTAATTCTAACCATAAGTCTTAACAATTTTTTGCCTGCAATAGTTGGCAATTAGCTTGCGTAGAGCGCAGTTAAAATCAAATCAAGGTATTTGGAGTAAATGACAGTACCCTCTGGAAACTCCGTTAAAAAATACAAGTCTACATAATCAGCAATTAAGTTGCACAGACATACAAGTAATCTCGGCACACGAATTGCGTAAGACTGATAGTGAAATATGAGTGTTAAAAGCTGGCGAAGATACTTTGATGCGCAACAAGTTCAGTAGTCAACAGAAGCGAGGAGACGAGTCCCAGGAAGCAGTCGTGAAGGAGACACTGTCGCTGGGACAAGAACTTTATTCGCCTGACGTTTCGGATTCCCGCTCGAACCCATCATCAGAGACAATAGCATATACGGATGGTTCATGCACAAGGGGCTGCAGTACTTATAGAATGCAGTCTCCATGCTATCGGAAAACTATGAATATTCACGGCTCCTCCCCTTCATCCGCAATCAGTGCACCTGATGTGATGACTGTTTGGTGGTTTTTCGATACATCTGTGCATAAACCGGATCCGCGCATACGTGGAGGCCTCTCGAAGGGCTCTCAAGTTGCGGCTCATTCGACGAGATCTGGCCACAAATTCAAATTCAACGAGGTCGAAATTCTTGCTGGGGATGAGGGCCGCGTGAGCTTCGAGCTGTTTGGATCATGATTCACTGGCCCCACACTCTTAACAAGTACAACAATCTTCCCCTTCCATACTCGGTGCTGAGATCTCGCCTAGACGGAGCAAATAGCCACGCAGGGAGTGCACAGGTGAGCACTGTTCCCAACGCCACGGTCGGTGGTTCAGATGGTCGAGCAATCATCTC